ATCTTTCTCTTTCTAATCCATTTTCCTTGGTATATCATTTACCATTCATAATATTATGCATATTCTTGTTATAGACATTCATTCTTTTATATGACATTGAATGTCTATGTCTTGTTTGCTTTTCTTTACAAGACCCTAATATTTTACACAATAGCCATTGCATTAAAATCTGTTATTTTCTTCATTGGAAAATAGTCTATTTTTATATCAAATAAAAAAAATGACAATGAAATAATAAAAAGAAATGATTTTAATTCATGTAGAAAAAACACAAAAGAAGGAATATAAAAAACATTTCATGCTTTATTTCAAGAATCTTTTAAATTCGTAATTTGTAGTTTTTTCTATTAATAAAACTATAGTGAATAGTTGAGTTAGTTCAAGATAATTTTATCCACAAAAATAAAACAGAACTTAGAAGTAGAGTAAATAGAGCAAAATGAAAAGTCAATTAGGCTATGGGATTAATGCAAGTAAAAAGCACCTAACAGATGGAAAGTTTTTAAAGTACATTTCTGGGTACTTAAAACAAAATGTTTGCTTTTATTATCTTTCTCTCTTATTAATTCAAATAACTTATATTCACTAGAAAATAAGTCCTATAAATGTCAAAACAATTATTGTATCTAACAATTTATTAACACTTACACCTCCAATTCAAATTATGACTTCATTAAATACATTGGATCTTTCTGATAATAAGATTGATACATTGACAAATGAATTTACTCAATTAAATTCGTTGACATCATTAAATCTTAGTCATAATAAACTCATTGACTTTTCATTGTTATGTAATATGACAAATTTAAAAGTATTAAATCTTTCTCACAACCGAATTGAGTCATTACCTATTGACAAATTCACTAACCTTACTGGATTAAGTTTGTTTATATTTATATTATTTTTTTTTTGTTATAATTTCATATAAATTAATCTTACTCATTAAATAGGTGAATTAGACTTAGGGTGGAATGAATTGACAGAATTCGATTATGAGTGGATGGTTCCATTAAAATCAATTCATTCATTTTCTGTTATTGCTAACAAAATTACTGTTGTGAAAAATGACAATGGAGTATTTTCAAAAGACTTTGGTACTCCATATGCTCAACTCACGCCAAACTGTATATTACCTCATTTATTCCTTGGTTCTGTTGAATCTACAACTAAACCGTTCTTAAGAGAATATCATATTGAAGGTGTACTTTCTATTGGAACTAAACCATTATATACAAGTAAGAAAGTTGAGTATTTGTTTATTCAATGTGGAGATAGTATTTCGGATGATGTTTCATCTCATTTTAATGAATCATTTGAATTTATTGATCGATTTGTTACAGCGGAAAAAAATGTATTAGTTCATTGTGTTGCTGGAGTTAGTAGATCAGCGTCATTAGTCATTGCATATGTAATGAAAAAAGAAAAAATACCTTATGAAGCTGCTCTTGCAAAAGTAAAAGCACACCGTTTTTGTGTATGTCCAAATCCTGCTTTTGCTCAACAACTTCAAAAATACAAACCACATTAATTTATTGTATTGTTACATCTATCTCTTTGTCATGTTTTCTTAAAAGATAAAATCTTAAAATTTTTATAAAAAAATCTTTGAAAATTATTTATTATTTCGTTTATGAATAATCAACAAGTTCATCTCACATTTAAAAATGATTTAAAAGAAGATGAGATTATTCTTGCACAATTTGAACAGACAAAATTCGAATCACTTCCTCGTCCTATAAAACTTATTAAAGATGTTCTTACCCCTGAAGCACCAAATAAAAAAGATGAACAAAAAAGACAATATTATAAAAAGGCTATTGCTGATGCTCCTTTTATTCTTTCTGCAGGTGAGCAACCACTTTTTGCACCTAAATTAGATCCAATAACAAATCAAATGATTTCAACTAAACCAATTATCACTTTAGGAAGTAGAAAAATCAAAGAAGAAGAAAAGTTTGCACTAATTCAAGTTCAAGATGATGGAAATGCTACAATAAATATTTTAGATGAAAATTGGATTTTTAGCAGAAAGGCTGATATGGAAAAACCACTTTTTTCAAATGCTGTAGAAGAGGTTGATGGTTCTGATGATACTAGAGTTAAAAAAAAAGAATATCAAAGTGAAGAAGAACGTTACTCTAATTTCAGTGACAACTATGGTGATGATGAGGATGATTTTAACGAAAAGAATGATAAAACTGCTTCTGATGACAGTGAGGATGAAGAAAAGAAAGAGGCAAAATCACGTAAAAGATTATCTTCATCATCTCAACCAGCACCGAGAAAAGAGTTAATGAATTTAATTATTGAAAAAATGAAGGCAAGTGGAGATGAAATGTTTCTTGATGACTTAAATAAATCATTAAATCCTGATGGCAATGAAGAGTTATCAAAGAAATTAACTGATTTATATGCTCGTGTTTTAACTGTATCAAAACAAACAACAGAATCTCCTTTAATTGTAACACTAAAGAAAGAACACTCTTCTAAAAAACCAAAAAAAAGAACCGAGAAAAAGAGTGAAAAGAAACCAGAGTCAAGTAAGTAATGAAAGAAGTAAACTTTTTATTATCAATAAACCAAAAAATTCATGTTATTGTTTTATTTAAAAAGGATTAAGTCTTATAGTCATTAAGAATAATTGAGATTTTAAAAAAAACTAATTTCAAATAAAGATTGGTTTTCATTGTAATAATACTGCGTAAATTTTTCTATTATTAATTATTTTTTGTCATTATTAATTCTTTAGAAAATTTTTCATCTTTTTTCATAAATTTATTTTTTAAGTTTATTATTTTATTATTGTTTTTGGTAACATTATTTTTTTTATTTCATCTCCTTTATTCGTAGTAAAATATAACTTGTTTATTAAAAACCTTACTTAATTTATTCTTCTGTTTATTGGTATTGTTTTTTTCAAATAATTTTTTCAATTTGCTCCTCATTTAGTAATAAATATTACTTTAAGTTATTCAACCCTTTGTTTTAATTATTTAGTTTGAACAACTTTATCTATCAACTATACATTTCTTAAATTAACAGAATAACTCATTTTAAACAAGGTAATAAACAACAAATAGATTTAAAAAATATAATAATTGATTAAAAAATTAAAAAGAATATTAAGGAAAAAAGCAAAATCACTTTATTGATAGCACTATAAATATAAATACTATAGTTCATTTTCAACTAAACTTATTTATAATAAAAGGAAAAGCACTTACTCTAAGAATAATTAGTGTAAGCCAGGTATAGTAGTTAATCAACGTTATTATAAGAACTATCAATGGTAAATTTAGAAAATTAACATAAAATATAGGATAGTACATGAGTGAAATAATATGATATTAAAAAATGAGTGTGTGTGTTAGAAATAATAAAAACAACAACAAAATATGCATAGAAAGATATAAATGAAATTGAATAAGAATTGAAATTGAAAAGACAATATAAGGCATGTGACAAAAAATTAATAAAGGTGAACATTTCAAAAATAATATAATATGTGTATATAAGATAAAACAAAGAGGAGCAACAATTGGCATGACAAGAGTAAAAGATAAAAAGATGGTTCTAAAATTTATTAATAATGTAGAAATGTATAAAATTGGTCAAGAAAACATAAAACAAATTAATAGACTAAAAGGAGTAAAAATAATTGAAATAAAAATGATAATAAATAGAAGAAAGAATAAAGAACTAATAAGAATAGTCAATGAACAATATATCATCAAATAATTTAAATTAAAAAATAAAAGATATAATAAATATTGAACATAAAATATCTAATGAAATAATGTGAAGAAGATGGAGGATAATATAGAAAAACAGATAAAAATATATTTAATAACAAGGAAAATAAAGAAAATGAAAGATAAAATATCAAATAACTAAAGTAAAAAAAGATATAATTATTAATTTTGACCACTGCTTTAGTCTTTATGTTGTTATGTTATTTCTTTAAATACTTTCAAATTCTTTTAATTTGAATTAATAACGACTAATCGAAGTTTTTATTATTTATTCATTATCATTTTCATTTAAATAATAATTTTAATAAATGCATTGGTGTGAATTGTTTTTAATAGTTCATTATCAGGTGTTGTAACAATGTCAGCACTTTCTTTTATGAAAGAGATTATATCAATATGAATTTAAAAAAAGTTTCATGAAGTTGACTTCTTTCACTAAAAAAAAGAAAACTCAAATAGGCAAAACAAAGAAACTAGGATGAGTGGAGAAAAAGAACAAGAAATGACTGAAAGAAAAGAGGATAAAAGCACAGAAAAAGGAAATGATCCAGAGACAGAAATGAAGGAATATGAAAAAGTCTTTGATTCTATAGTCAAAGATAATGAAAGACAAAGAAAACAAAGAACATTTAGATGTCAAAGTATGATTGTTTCACAACAAGAAATTGATTCAATAAATCAACAGATTGATAGAGAACTTGCAAAAGAATTTTTACAAGAAATAAATGAACCATTAAAAACAATAAAAGGAAAGCCACAAGGAAGAAATGAACTAAAATTTAATATTGAAACACAAATTAAAAAATTAACACAAAAACGAGTTAATTTAATGAAAGAGGTTCATAGCATTGATTGTGAATTAGAAAGGTTAAAAATATCTTTAGAATTATTACAATCACCAATTAAAGATAAAAAACTAAAGAAAAAAGAAAAGAGAATTAAAAAAGAAGAAGACAATGGAGATCAAAAAGGTAGTAAAATATCACACAAAACTAACACATCTACTCATCCACTTTTTGAAGTTGATTCTACTACAAATCGTTTAAAATTAGAAAAACAGCAATTTGAAAATGAAAGAGAGGTTATAATAAATGAAAGGGAAAGACTAGATAAGGAACTTCGATTATTAGAAGATGAGTTAAAAATAAAACAAGACGAATTTGAAAAAACATTAAAAGAAGCAACTGACAGATACACTGAACAAGGAAAAAAGAAGAAAAAAGAAAAGAAAAAGAAAAAAATTGAAGAAGAAAGGAAGAAAGTTGATTTACGTCTTTCTCAAATTGAAAATGAAATAATTGAAAGACAAAAATTACTTGAAGAACGATTAAAAGTATTACAACATAAACAAGATAAAAAAGAAAGAAAAATTGTTGGAAAGTCTTTAGACGTGCGAGGAGTTGTTAATTGATTTGTTTTTTGAGAAGAATATTGTTAACAAAAAAAAATAAAGAAGAAATGCCAAGTATTATAAATTGTCATTTTATATGTTTCATCTTTCTATTTTCAATTTATTAAATGAAATTGATCAAATTGTTTATTATTTATTCAAATATTGCTCAATTTAATATTAATTATGAATTTAAAAAATAAATTATTTTTCTTATTTATTCCAAAAGAATTATATTCTTCCATAAAAAAAATCTATTATTCAAAAAGTATTTAATGAATCAAAAAAATAATTAAAATAATTACTTATTTCTGGGAATTAAAAAAAAAAATAAATAAATATGAAGTTGTTTAGTTCTTTCTTTGTTAAGATATTTTTCTGTGACTATTGTTTATAACAATAACATAACGTTTTTTATTCAGTTAATAACTAAGAAAGAAATTTATACAAAGTTCATGGAAAATAAAAGTTATATGAAATGATATTAATTTCCTTTAATTAATGAGGAAAGTGAAACATAAATAAGAGAAAGTGTATTATTTTATTTAACAAACAATTCTCATGTAAATTAATGAAGAGATAATTGAAAACAAATAATTATTGACTTAGACCTTTGAAAATGGGTTTGTGTTTATCGGTACGGAAAACCTTAATACCTTCAATAATGAAAATAATATTTACCAACACTCATCTTTTAAATATTTTATATCTTAAAAGGCCGTTATAAGTACGGAAGTGTGCAATTATTTCAAAAATGCTTTATCTACTAATAATGGAAAAGTTATTTGAATGGAGAGTGAACAATGGTTAGACGTACCTCTTACACCAAATAATACTGTAAATGAACTAATTATTGTTGTTTCTGATGAACTTAGAAAAAAAGGAATAACTCTTACCAATGTCGTCTGTGAAAATAACCATTTCACAATTAAACAATTAATGGAGTCTGGTAGATTAGTTTGTCTTGAAGAAACAATAAAAAATGAAAGTAGACCAGAAACACCTTCTTCTTGCCAAACTGATAATACAAAAGAAATCAATGAACAAACTTCTCCGATTGGAAGTTGCCATTGTTGTAAAACAAGAAAAGAAATTTATTTCATTTGTGAAAAAAATAAATACCATAGAATATGTGAACGTTGTATGAGAAAATTCTCTGGTGTTACTGTTTGTCCTATTTGCAACAATATTTGTACTTGTGCTAGTTGCAAAAGAAACTCAAAAAAAGGAGGAGACTGTTAATTTTTATTTATTTTTTTTAATTATTTTATTAAAACAAAACTATAAAAAACTAATTGAAATAATTATTTTATTCTTTTCTTCATTAATTTTTAATCTTATTCAATTAAATATTTCTTTAGTTAA